AGGAGGAGGAGGAGGAGGAGGAGCGGCCCCAGGTGCAAGCAATCATTTCAAGGGAGAAGGAGAGAAATAGCGACAGAAGCTCTAACCGCACCACAGTAACTAGGACTCCCCTTGGCAAGCAGTGCATCGTAGCGGCTGGCAAGGGTGCGTGTAGGGGAGAAAGAGTGCTCTATTGCTTTAACAAAGAATTAGAGAAAGTAGTAATTTTATACGTGCTCTGTTGCTTATAGATGAAGGGAATGAATAGCCGGAAATATTCTGGGATGTTATAAAATCCAGAGGACTTTCTGTACAGCGTGGCGATGCACGACAGGAAATTAACTCCAGAAAGAATGCTTTCTCTCAAACTGCTGCAACAGCATCGGCAATTTTTCTTTTCTAGCGTCTGAAATTTCTCCCAAAGACGCAGCAAGGACTATCAAAACCATCCGAGAGATTCCGGTACTTTTAAAGAGACTTAAAGCAAATGCCAGCGTAATATCTGAATGACCTTGGAGATCATTTTATGTGGATTCGTTAATTTTCACTGCCAGTCATCTAGTCTCAGGAACTCTAGGATTAAAGATGGTTTTAACGTTTTAGGGGCCTTTCAAAAAGCAAGATTGTCTACAATTAATTACCTGCCTAATGATTCCTGAACTAATCAAGCATTTACTTAAAACTGAGCACAGAAGATGCTTTCTTTTAATGTTTACCTTCTCCATAACTGCAAATAAAACGAGCAAGGTAACATCCTGCAATTCAAAGAACATTTTTTAAAGCAACTATTTATTATGCTAATCGTCTAATAAACATAGAAACCCTAAAACTACGTAGAAGATGAAGCTGAATAACAGAATAATGGAGTTGTAAACAATGGCAGCTTTTCTAGTCAAATCAGCATTTCATTAGCTTCACAGCAGAATGCAGATGGAAGTTTCTGTTCTCGTTGTATGGGGGTTTGTGAAATGATTCAGGTGTTGCTACAGAGGTGAGCAATATCATGGATATGCCTGTGAACTCCTGTGTACTGAGCCACTGTAGCAGATATGGCAGAGTTTCCAAAGGTTATTATTTTAAATTACCATTGCTGAAATTAAATTCGAGAGGATTTATTTTGTCTGTGGGGACCTTGAATTATGCTTCTGGCATTAGTAATTGTAATGGACTAGAAACGTTTGAAGGAATTGTGAATATTGACATAAGTCTCCAAATTCTATTCTTAAATTATTTTCATTTTTAAATGAATAGACACAATCTTCCTCATTGTATGTGAGATGTATGTTTTCTTTCTTGGGAGTCAGAGGACAAATCTGCCTTGTCCCCCACCCGTCTCCCTCCAAATAAAATTCATTATTCATACCCAAACAGTGGTGAGTCTATTGGAATTAACCTTGACAAAAATGTTTTCCTTACCTTTCCAATGAATAGCATGGATGAGACGGAGTAACATCTCCTGAATGGAGCCAGAAAAGACAGCGTTAGACGATGAACTTTTTCCTTTACTCTCCAGTCAGTCTGTGATTTAAATTGAGACATTAAAAAGATTATCTCCAGTTACTGCTGGTCCAGGAAACCTGAGCTGTACTGAGGTTCCTCTTCCCCTTCCTCCCCCTCACCCCATTATATTCCAAAGTAAATGACTTTCTCAGGAAAACAAGCAGTCAGAGATTCCCCCTCTCCTTCCCTGGGAAATGAATGTGTCTCCTCTGTCATTTTTTATTCCATATTTCACAGTACCTGCTTGTTTTAGAAGTGCCTTGTGTTTGCTAAAAATTGGTCAAGAGCACTGGAGGAGCTGATCGGTGGCCTTTCTCTTTCTGGCTTTTTTTTTTTTTTTGCTTTTTCTTTTCTTTCTTTCTTTCTTTCTTTCCTTAAAGCTAAGGTGTGCCAGAGGTGATGCACTGATGCTGAGGAGGCATCAACAGCTATGGGACTGTAATCCTCTCAAATGTAAGCACTGGCAGTGTCTACAAAGAGAGATCGTGAGACGCTGAAGCAGAGTTTAGCTGCTGTTAAGCAGGTCATCTGCTCACTAAGGCTCAGATTGCAGTGTTCCCCAATCACAAAACATGAACCAGTCCCGATGGATTGAATGGAGGACTCTGAATATGAGCAGTAGTGTTATGAACATATCTGAGCATCTCTCCTGCCCTCTTGGATTTGGTCACTACAATGCAGTTGACATCTGTATCCTTGAGACAGTTGTTATTGTGTTGCTAACATTTTTAATTATTGCGGGTAACTTAACTGTGATATTTGTTTTTCACTGTGCTCCACTTCTGCATCATTATACCACCAGCTATTTTATTCAGACCATGGCCTATGCTGATCTTTTTGTTGGAGTTAGCTGCTTGGTTCCTACTTTGTCACTGCTCCACTACTCGACAGGTGTCCACGAGTCCTTGACTTGTCAAGTTTTTGGATATATCATCTCTGTGCTGAAAAGCGTATCTATGGCATGTCTTGCTTGCATCAGTGTGGATCGCTATCTCGCTATAACAAAACCTCTCTCCTATAATCAACTGGTCACACCTTGTCGCTTGAGAATCTGCATCATTTTGATCTGGATATACTCTTGTCTGATCTTCTTGCCTTCCTTTTTTGGTTGGGGAAAACCTGGTTACCATGGAGATATTTTTGAATGGTGTGCTACCTCCTGGCTAACTAACGCCTATTTTACTGGCTTTATCGTGTGCTTACTATATGCTCCTGCTGCCTTTGTCATATGTTTCACGTATTTCCACATCTTTAAAATTTGCCGGCAGCACACCAAAGAGATAAATGATCGGAGAGCTCGATTTCCTAGCCACGAAGTGGATGCTGCTGGGGAGACTGGGCACAGCCCCGATCGCCGCTATGCCATGGTTTTGTTTCGGATAACCAGTGTGTTCTACGTGCTGTGGCTCCCCTATATCATATACTTTCTGCTGGAGAGCTCTAGGGTGTTGGAAAACCCAGCACTTTCCTTCTTAACGACGTGGCTTGCTATAAGCAATAGTTTCTGCAACTGTGTGATATATAGCCTCTCCAACAGCGTTTTCAGGCTGGGACTGCGGAGACTGTCGGAGACAATATGTTCATCTTGTATGTGCTTAAAAGACAGGGATGTACGGGACCCTAAACCACGAAAACGGGCTAATTCCTGCTCCATTTAAAGAAAACTGGCGCATGTAATCAAACGTGGAGTTTTGATAGTATTTGCTGTATCTGGAAACTTGCCAGAAGAGAAATGTTTACTTGAATAGTTTGCTGTGATGTTAGGGTGAGTTGCAAAGCGATTGCAGAAAAGGAAAAGGCTGCTGTAAGAGGGGTCACTGAACTTAAATATAGCTCTTGTGAAATTGTGGGCAGAGCGACTCGACAGAGACGATGAAGAAAGTCAGAACTAAAAATCTTCCAAAGGGCATGAAATAACTAACACATCAGAGGGGGTTCCTCATAAAATAAATTAGTTACTACCTTATATTTTCCCCCTTGTAGAAAAGTTGTCTTACTATCTTTGTGTCAGAATATACTGTAGCCTTCTGAATTTAAATATATTTAAGAGGAAACAATCAACAACACAGTAAGTGGCTATCCGTAAATTATATACCTGAGGACTATAATAGATATTGCAGATTAATAATCAGCTCTATCTCTGCTCACGTCTTGTACAATTTTCAGTTGTACAAATGAACCGCAATGCATAACACCCTACACGGGGCATGACGCTTTTGGATAAACCGGCACATTTTGGTACAACTTTCACAGAAGCTCTCCCTCTCATTTTCCCCGCCCCCTTTTTTCCCCCCCCCCATACTGTGCATCCCTAGATTCCATCGTGTCCAAGTGGTTTAGTTTAAGGGCACCTACGAGGTAAACTGAGTTTCAGACCATTCTTCCTGCAGAAAGCAATAGCCCTTCCTGGCCGGCTGAGTAACTGCAGCTGCCTGTGTACAATGACTTCTTTAATCTTTCATTCTCTTGATCCTGTTAAATTAGCACACAGTATCGATGTAGTGTCCTTTAGGGTGTACTAAAGCTTTTCCTTTATTGGCTACACAGATAATCCTAACGCAAATATGATAATCGCACACAGCAGTGTGCAGCACTGCTTAGAAAATTTAAAACTAAACCTTTTCTTTGGGAAGTCTGAATAGCTTACTGTTGTAGCTGTCAATCCGTTGTGTGAACCTAGCTTGCACATACTGTATTTTTATTTTTAATTTTTTTAGAGAAAACGTAAATTGTGGTCTGTGCCTAATGTTTTCATAGCACATGGAATAGGTCAATGCTACAGGATTAAAAAATTACACTTGCTTTAAGAGAAATACTTCTGTGCAGTTGTTGAATAGCTGTTTGTTAGACAAGTGTTCTTGGAGGAGGTGAACAAGATGGTTTAGTATTAAATACAGGCAAAGAGCTTCAGTATTTATTTCCTTTCGTACTGAACTGATTTTCAGGTCTACTGATGAACTCTTTTTCATTTTGCAGGGGCACACATTAGGTTTGTGTAATAAATTTCCAGGGGTTCAGATGCATGCCAATCAATAACATATTTAAATTATTATTTTGAACCAAATGTAATTTTCTTAGATGGTTATTGGCTTTTAAAAAAGGCCCAGTTATTGATTAATGGTGCCTTTTAACACTGCACTATTATTCCTTCTTTCACCAAAATGCATATGTAAAGATCGTGCCTATTACTTTTTGTAATGGAAGCTAACCACGCTTGCACACTTGTGGTTTGACTCTAGATCTCCTTTGATTATGTATTCTTTGTTCTGTTGAGGTGGTTCTGAACCCCTGTGCATTTTTTAAACCTGTAAGAAAGTTGAAACAATGGAATAAAGTAGTATTATGTATATCAAAACCAGCCTTGGCTTTAGTTCCCTGATGTTACGTTCCGTTCTCTGTCAAAGTTCTTTTGGGTTAGGACTCAAGAGTGAACGATTTAAAATTCAAACCTTAAAGCTGCTTATTTGCCGTCTTAAACGCTTATATTCTGGTTTCTAGCATTATACAATCTTTAAAGCGGATTGAAATGTGACTTGAAACATTCCTCTAGCTAAGCTGAGCTGTTGCCGACAATTAGCCCTGATAGATATTACGGGAACGTGAGTAGTATTCTTTGCACGTCTCTCGTAATGCTCCATGTCTACAGGAATGTGTCTGCCGCCTTCTTTTGAAAAGTTGCTGTTTATTTCGGAAGGCTCTTTTTGGCTGACTGCTGCTCTGTACAGTTGTGTAACCCTGACTCTTCTTACAAACACGACTTGGATTCATTTCGTTCTGTCATTAGTTTGTCATTGTTTCCTGCTTAGTAGGTTCTCAGCGTGCAAGACAGGGAACAATGAAATATCTCATTTCTCACAACTCACGGGGCTGGTTTCATACCAATAAAGTAGTTTTATATCTGCGTTCCAGAGCTGGCCGCTTACCGCTTCTCGTTTTTGTTGGCGTTCCTGGTAACAGGTTTCTATGGGACCTCCTGAAATTCAGGAAAAGTTCTAGAAAATGCTTAAAGTTGAACTAACCTTTTATTAACCACAGCCTGGAGGCAGTAGATGCATTGTTGGCATGGTACTGTAACTACAAATACGTAGAAATAACACAAGCTAACTCGTGTGTATCGGTAGTGCCTTAGTTGAACCCTGCTCATGTAACCTCAACAATGGGAGTTGATGTACATGAACTTGAAGCTTTATTGCCTGCAAATGGTAGTAGGTCAGAAAGGGAGCTTCGCTTCAGACACTGCGGCACAAGGTTTGCTCACCAACCCACTGGCTTCTTGCCCTAAAGGGCAGAGTTAGCGATACTTGTCTCTCTACCATGTGTTGAGCTTGTGGAGTTGTCAGGCGGGACTGAAGATTTTCTTTTTCCTCGGGCTGTCCCTGGAGGGAGAGAATATAGAAGTCCAATACCCTGCAAACAAATCATTGGTTCCTAGGTTCTTCACCCTTTTTGTTTGGGTTTGTTTCTTAAACATTGGCTTAATGTTGGTGCGAGAACGCTAATTTGCTTATCTGGACCCTGAATTTCAGTTGCTGTAAAGTCACACTTCAGCCTGTTCTCTCTAAATCTGAGTCTCCTGGAATCTGTCAAATCAAACATCAGTAGCAGAGTTAAATACTGCGTTTCTTCTTGCTGTTTCCATGATGACAGGATTTGACCTGGAGGTCAGTCACATGAATTTTTAAATCTAGTAAGTGTCTTTCATTTTTTGAAAGTGTTTTCTAAACTCGTGATTTAAAATTTTATTTGAGGGAGGTTTGTTATTGTTTTGCTAGTGCTGTCTGAGAATTCCAGCTGGTGCTAAATTCTCTTCCAAAATTACAAGGCGGGACGTTTTGATGAATAAAAAAAGTCCAGTAGGAATTCCAGTCACCCAATCTGTCACTGTTGATTTTTGTTCTGTCATTATATAAAGTCTCATGTTCGTGTATGAAAATCTGATTAAAGAATGAGACTTTTAAAGCTGGCATCTGGAGTACATATCCCCCTTTCATGTGCCTAAAGATCTTTATGATATATGACATACCTAGTAAATAGGTGACCGGACACTGACCAAAGAAATCGATATGGAAAAATCATTGTTGATAATGTAAGTAATAATAAAGTTTCTCTGTAGACAGATAAACCAAGGGAGTTGCTAAAACTTCAGGTTCCCTTAAAAGAGGGGAAAAAAAAAGTACCCATGAGATGAAAATGTATCTAAAATATTAAATAAGAAGGGTAAAATGAAAAGATATGCCTAATAGGTAAGCAAAAAACCCCCATATATATATAAAAATATATGAATCTCCTGTGTGCAGGTAAATGATGTTGTGCTGTTATTATTCATATGTCTTGAATACTTCTGCTTGTAGTGTACCAGAGGCCATGTCAAGGCCTTACCTGTTTTGGAACCTCATGTCTTCGGCCTAAGGAAAAGTAAAAAAAAAATAAATAGTTTCATGGCAGCAAAAGTGCTACCAGAAAAGTAATTTTTTCTTCACCAAATTCGATGTGCTTCCTTATTTTCTGGAATGGCAAAGTGAATTTCTCCTTAAAATACTGTTCTTTAAAGGGAAAGAAAATTGTAGTAATGAATGCTGTCTTTTAAAAGTTTACCTATTGTCTTATAGTAAGATTATTTTTTCCCCCCTCATTTCTGCTGAAGAATCCATTTTGTCATTGCACTTGGTGAAGCATGAGGTATCATGCTAGGTCTGGTTTTGTGCAGAATCTTTGTGCTTCCTCTACTGAAAAGTTTGGAGTGTTTGGCTTCACTGAGCCACCTTTCATAGATACAGGTTACGAAGACCTTTTAAAAATAGCATTTATATTGTTTTTACTATTATTTTTCATTCATTAGTGTTTGACAACTGAATATCCATAAGCACACTTAGTTTTCACACTCAGCAAAAATCATAAAATGTCCTTTTTTTTGGGTAAAATAACTTACCAGTCAATATTAGAAATTGGTTATTGAGAAAAATATATCAATGTAATGATTAGTTATTTCATTAGCTATTTTATCTTGCGCATGAAAAATTAAATTTAACTATAAACAAAAGATAATTGTTACAACAGGATATTGAGTTGATAGGAAACACATCAGATTTAATACTATCTGACAGCAGGTTCTCAACATGAAACTATTTTATCTTTCCATATTAACAGTTGTAGCCAAGTAAAATAAATATACCTATATATTTAACGTTGGTGTTTGAATGCTGAAGATCTGTATCTCTCAATCCAAGGCGCTGCTTGTGGTGGGAATATCCCTTTACCAGCTCTCAAACTCAGTTGCAGCAACCTGATTTTCCTGGAGCTGACTTTGCCACGGAGCAGTGCCAGAGGTTCAGGGGCCAACATGGCCCTGGGGAAAGAACGTCAGTGAAGGTGTCAGTGGCCTCCCCAGCCATCCTCCAGGATCAGCTCATTTGCAGAGCTTTCCATTTTATTGTCACTGTCACCAAAAGGATAAGCTTAAGCCTTTGACTTTGTCCCCTCCTCGTTACCACTGTGTCTCTCTTTAGGCTGTTTGGTGGATGCAGTGGTACGTCATTCTCCTAATGAGCTGAATTAGATTTATTTTGTTGGGTTGTTTTGATTAAAATGTTTTCTGCATGTCATTTGATGGCAAAAACAAATGTTACTTTGTTAATTAGGTGCCGATTAATTTTTAGGC